ATATATATATATATATTTTTTTTTTTTTATTTATTATTATTATATTGACCTTCCAGCCATGCCTAGCTAACAATACAGAAGTTTCAATGATGTGGTGCACATGCACTAATGTTATCTTATCCAATAATATAAAACTGACCTTTAATCTTTACAAAGTGACCTGTATTGGTTGTGCTTTAGTAGACTAGTATTTTGTAAAATACAGTCAAATTTCAATTATTGTACATTATATATGTATATAAGTTATTGCTATTTAGAAGTAAGTTCTTAAACTTATTTTTCTTAAAACCCAGAACAGTAAATAAAGAAGTAAAGCAAACAATTATCTCTGCCACTGGGTGAGCACGGGGTGCCACTGTTTTTTATTTATTACATGAGCAATATCTTAGCAAATTGAAAAGATAATAGGTTCTTATTTTATATTCTAACTTGTCAATATCAGTAATTTGAGTTCCTAATTTGTACAAAACTATAGACTTAGTATTTTGATGTCACATATCTAATTTAAACCAGTGCTGCATTCAACATACCAGGTGACACACAAAAATTGATGTTTTTTAATATTTACTTTTAAGTTAAGAAATTGAGTAATATATAGTACTACAATTTTAATTATAATCTATGGTTTGATATCACTTATTGGCATAAATTCATGAAGTAGTAGTTCAATAAAATCTTGAATGTGAGTCAACAAACGAGATGACGTGGCTTTTCACCCATAACCGTCTGGAAAGAGTTAACAGGAACACAAGTAAGTTCAACTTCATCATTATTAGCTTTAATATCCTCAACTTAACAGGATATATCTCACATTTTATATATAAAGCCACTCCTCCATCTCTTTTTAGAATACAGTCATCCAATTATAATTTAGAAACTCAAAAAAAGTTAAAAGAAAGTAAATTTACAATTTATTTAACACTTAGGTGAGCAGTTCAAAATTATTGACAGTGGAAGATGGCCTTAGCAGTTTTGCAATAGCAGTGACAGGGCAAGCAAGTTTAGTGGCAATGGGAATCAAATCCAATATTTTCAAATCATAAGGCACCTTCCCCCAGTTATGTAGCTTTGTGCTTAACAACAAACCTGATGGCTATACTTTGATTATTTGGACAGTTGAAATAACTGAAAACAGTAAGCAATAAGAAACCATAATTTCAATCAGTTGATTACTTGCCTAACAACTGATTTAATCATAACTGCAATTAATTTATTGTTGGAATAATTGAAAACAGTAATAATCAGAATAACTAATTTTTATGACAATCAATATTATGAAATTAATCGATAATTAATTTACCCAGCTCTAGTCATAACTTTATTATACTCATTCGTATAAAAATTTAAAAAAAATCAACCTTGCAACAATAGAATTTTGACAGGAGCATAACATTACTTTGTCCTGTTTAAAATAATCAAAAGTCATGTAAGTCAACCCTTGGATATTTCTGCTTGTCTTAAGGAAACTCAGCCTGTATAAAAGCAGTTATACAGTGGCAAACAGAAAACATTTGATGTTCACTTTCTGAACTTAACTTCTTAAATATATTTATGAATAGCTGGGCTCTTTCAACAAAGAGAAAAAATTAGAAAGTCTGGAATATGCCCATATACATACATCCCCAATGCAAGTAATTATAAAAAACTTTTCACCATCAAGCTAATAAATGAGAAATATTTCTGCGGAAATGGAAATCAAAAGCCTCACAAGTTAATTCTGTTAAAACCAAAGCCAAAATGATATTTTGTGGAATGTTTGGCAGAAATTAAAAAGCAATTCAGAAAATTAAACTCTTATATTCTCAGGTTTTAAGTCCATAAATATATGTGTATTAAATTGTGAAATGTCAATAAAAACAGTGTATCTTCACCATTAACATCTTTCTAATTTAATAAGCCATTGAATCTACCAACACCAGTTATAGAAATACATGGATCATCTAGGTTAGTTCCAGTTTATTCAAACTCAAATACATAGCTTTCATCTCCTTTTCAAAACATTTATATTATTCTCAAAACCAGAAAAGAAAAAAATAAAGAAAGGAAAAATACTTATTACTTAATATAAGCAACACTGTGTATAGTAATTATACAATGAAAAAAAAAGAAATAGAGAAGGAAAAAATAAGTGTAAAGAAAAGCACTACAAAAGCAAAAATCTCATGAACAAATGCATAAGAATAAAAGGGAAACAAACACAATAACAAAAATACAACTCCAGAATAATTGGATTTTTCCAAGCTTAAATTCTGATATGATATTGAAAATTTTTACATTAGAGTCATCTGCAGATTCTGTGGATTAAGATAAGGTAAGCCAGAAGAATTGATTGGCTGTGATATGTGTTCACAAGGGTACCACAAAATGGATACTGACACTGACTTTATGAACATGGACAGTAATCTTTGCCAATTCCAGTTTGTTTGTGATAAATGTCAATGATACAATTTTTCTCATCTGAATCAGCAATTCTGTTATTATTTCTAGTCATTCTTTATGATGAAAATTTTTGAACCATTTGAAAGTCAAATGTTTCATATTTCAAGTCTAATTTTACTGGTGTGAAAAATTTTCTAAGTATTTGAAATATTTTCATATGTATGCTTTTTATGAATTAATACAAACAAAATTAAAATGATAATTACTTATATGTTTATTGGCACAGACCTATATCAATTTCATATCTTTTATTGTTGATCAGAAAGTTCACTAAGCTTGTCAGAAGGACACCCAAATGGTTAGAAACCAGTGCTAACATTTGGTCTGAAACCTTCTATTACATAATTGATATTACAAATTTAAGTTTTAGACTCTTTTTATTCTAATTTTTACAGGTAAAATTAAATTTTCCATTAAGTGGTAAGAAATTTTCCTCTTACTTTGTTTTAATTTTTCTCAAGAGTAGGTAAGGATAGCTTTGAAGGACAAAATGGTCCCTTGTCTGTATTCAAACAGAAATTAATAAGGACTGGAATTTCATCCTTTTAATTTGAATCAAAAATGTATATTCCTTTACACTAACTTATTAACTATATTAATAAATACAATATAAACTATGCCCGAGCATTATATATAATAAGTACAGTGTTGTACGTTGTCTTTTACTCACTACAATGAACTTGCAATAATAGAGCATTCGAAGAATATGTATCAATGATGCTACTAATTTATTATTCTAAGTTCTTCAGCAGAAAAGCTGTTGAAGATACTAAAAATATGAAACCCAATCTGTTATTCGATTTACCACTTTGTAGCAGATATAAGAACCAGTTTCAGGGAATTCCACCCCCCCCCCCATCAATAATTATATGATAGGCTATATATTATGTGCATGGTGTTTTAGTTATCATTTTAGTTTTACTCAACAAAGTGAACTTACAGCTATATAAGAATTTAAGTGGATTAGATTGGACTTCACACTTTTTAATCTTAGTATCTTAAACAGCCTGTATCAGTATATGCTGAATAAAGTTATAGCATCAATCCTATGTAAATACAGGTTCACTATGGTGAATAAAGTTCAAACAATATTTTGTTATAACATGAAAAAATTGAAAACACATACTAAAGGGTTCACAATTCTTCAAACTCTTTGTACGTGTATCCCTGAATACACAAAACATGTAATAATCTTTCACCATTTTACGACTACTTTTTCACTTTTTTTTTTCACAACTGCATGATTGACATGCAATTTGGTAAAATGTTTATAATAATAATTTTTTAAAACAGTTTCCACGCCCATACTAAGTATTTAAAAAGATTGAGAGTTGGTGGCATATTGAATAATTTTGTTTGAAAAGAATAGTTAAACTTTAAAAATGATCTATATTCATGCTGTTTCTTATTCTAACATTAACAACATTATTTTATATTCCACCTATATTTTTATGGTGAAAAATACAACACATCCTAGAAACAAACCAGTTTGGACTATGGAGATTTCTTGCCAAAGACTGTACACACATTTCATTATAAAGTATAATTATTTTTTGCAGAGTTTATGAAGTTACGAATGTTATTAACTGATATAATCGATAATACACTACAACGTGGTTGTTAAAATAATAAAGATATAGTATATCACAATATAAACTGTATAACTGTAAGTACTCTCACTAGCCTTAGATTTAATTTTCATAAACAGTTGTTTTTCGATTTGCCCTGGCCATAGCGCAGGATTACTCAGTGACAAGTGGTGAATCAAATAACTCAATGAGCTTCATATTTATATTATAATTCCTGGTGTACCATTAGTATTATTACCGTCATAGTAGTAGTAGTATTCATCTTATTAATTCTTAGTAATAGTCTTACCAGATAAAGTATGTCCACGGCTCATTATGATGCCCGCTATAGCCTATACAGTATACTATTACTATAGTATACTATATGTCCCTAAGACTGTCCAACTCCAAAACTTTTAAAAATAAAGATAAAACGAGCTGAAAATACGTTTTTTCTTCAAATCGACTATGTTTATAAAAAGTAAGTCCTAAAAAGTTTGCTTTTTAAATCTTAGACTCTAAACTCAAGCCACATTCGTCAACAAAAGTAATACTATTTCTAATAAGATACGGAAGTTGTAATGCTTTATCGTGGTTTCATGAGGTTCTTGTTTTCGTTTCTTAACCAAACTAGTGAAAATACTATTATTTTAAAAGAAAGAGAGAGAGAATAGCTGAAATATGTGATTGACAAACAAATTGAAATCAACTCAAAACAAGACTATAATAAAACTTAACACACTGGTGTAAACACTGCGGTTTTTAAATCTGCCTGTAATAATTTATAAACTTTTTTCTTTCTCTGTGATTCTGAGAGTAATTTAACATCAGCATGTGTTGTTACGTTTTGTATTCTCATAATTTATTATTATCGTGTTACATTACGTTGATAACGGTATTTTTACTTCTTAAGTGTTTGTATTTTGTATTTATGGTAAAGCTACTCAGATTATCTGCTTCCATCCTTAATTTTTAACTGTTTACCAGGGTGAGGGCAGCCAGTTAACAGCACCCTACCGCCCGTCATCCATATTAAGGGACTGACTGTAGCTCTTATAACACACACACACAGCTGAAAGTGTAGGAAACATTTTGAGGCATTACGTGGATTCGAACTAGTTCGCAGGCTCCAAAATTCATATCTCTACCACAGTACCGTCCTCCAATAGGTAAGCAGTAAGTTTACAAACTTACAACGCTAAAAATCTGGGATTCCATTATCTGCGGTAGACAAAGCTCACATAGTAGCTCACTACATAGTTTTGGGCATAAAACAACAACTATTATCAAAGACCAATTTGCGCTGATCTACAACTGCAAAATAGCTGATCCTTCTAATGTTATTTTGATCTAGACTTCCCAGGTCAATCGAGTTAGCCTACCCGATAGGACAGAGGTAAGTCTATTAACTTACAACACTAAAATTCGGGGTTCGATTACCCGCGGTGGAGACAGTAAATAGCCCAATGTGGCTTTCCTCTAAAACAAACAAACCATTGACTTAGCTTGCAGGTGAGAATGGTATTGTTACTTCTCCGTTCGTTAGTTCATTTTCCGTAAAAATTCTTTCCGATGAAACTTTAGCGACACAAGTCCTATCTTCAATAAAACTGGTTTATTCTTTCTGAATACAACTTTACCATACACTCAATTTCCACAGTCGCGCTATAACAAACGCTATAATTCACAACGAATGTCTCACGTGCTCGACTCAAAAATATTCTCTCTCTGTCCGCAGTTCAATTACACAGCATTATATTGTTGCCGTCACGTCTTAACCGTCTTATATATAAAATAATACCGAAATCTAGTAAACGCTAGAGCATTCAGGAACCTTCGAGAATATGACGTGTTACCAGTTCACGTGACCCCCGCTGTCGTAACACTGCCTCTTCCTTAGTATTGTTCGTCCCGAACAATAGCC